CAGAATCATGACCATGTGTTAATTGATTCAGATACAAGACATATGTCAACTTTGTTGTTCCTTGCTATATCTCATAATTTGTATATTGTTCTCTGGCAGACACATTTGAAGATGATAATTGTTTCACTTCTGAAAAGGATGACCTTGATTTTGCTGGGTAAAGTACTTAAATCTTTTTTTTTTTTTTTTTTTTACCGTTTTCCCAGCATTTCCGAAATTACTGTCCCTCAGAACAGTAGAGCACAGGACTGTGTGATGTATAGGAGAAATGTATTGAAATAAGTTTGGGAAATGGATAGAGTACTTTGATTTTGGACCTTTATAATGCACATCAGTATATTAATTAAAGGCTCTGAGCCATCTGTAACTCTCTGTTTAAATCTGTTAATAGCCTAATACCCTGCTAGTCACCAAAACACACTTCAGAAAACAATGTCCTCTTTTACGTTACAAGTTGTTATTGTTATTTTTCTTCAGCAACTTGAAAAAGAAAACAAAAGGAGCTAAGGCTGACGCAGAAGATGAAGATTCAGAAGGTAGTGACGATGACCTTGATAACCTGGACGATGATGAAGTTTCTTTAGGAAGTATGAATGAAGAATTTACCAACATCGATGAAGAGGGAGGAACATTCATGGATGTGTTAGATGATGAAAATGAGGGCATTCCAGGTAAGCATTTTAAAATATAAGAGAAACAAACTATGTCTTCCTTTCTTTCTCAGTGTAGGCTAGTTTTTCTGTTGAAGGTTTTTTAATATTACTCTGTATTCAGTTTAATACTCAGATGGGCCAAAAATTTAGAGAGGACCTTTATCCGGCTCATTGGAACTGAAGGGTTTTTTGAAGCAGTTGAGTTTTGAGTTTTGGACTTTTATTTTAATCAACAATTAGGCTGGGCCAGCCCCATGACTTAGCGGTTAAGTGTGCGCGTTCCGCTACTGGCGGCCCGGGTTCGGATCCCGGGTGCGCACCAATGCACCGCTTCTCCGGCCATGCTGAGGCCGCATCCCACATACAGCAACTAGAAGGATGTGCAACTATGACATGCAACTATCTACTGGGGCTTTGGGGAAAAAAAAGGAGGAGGATTGGCAATAGATGTTACCTCAGAGCCAGTCTTCCTCAGCAAAAAGAGGAGGATTAGCATGGATGTTAGCTCAGGGCTGATCTTCCTGAAAAAAAAATAAAAATAAATTAAAAAATTTAAAAAAAAACAATTAGGCTGTTGGTGCAATATCTGTTGAGCTGTTGTGTTGCCTTTTTTTAATGTTAGAATAGTAATTAGCAGTTTCTAAAAGTTAATCAATATTCATCATCGCCCTATAGCAGTCTTAATTGTTTTTAAATTGCTTAATAGCACATTTTTTTTGGTTTTGGGTTTTTTTTTTGGTAACAGAACTTGATGAAGTCAGCTCCGAAGTCAATACTAAGAGAAGCAAGAGAAAAGGTGCAAATGATTTTGACTTTGCTGGATCGTTTCAAGGTAAGAAAATGCATTTAGTCTCTCTTAAACCTAAGCAGTGTGTGTGTGAAAGTTACTTTTATCATTTTGGGAAATTAACTTTTCTAAATTGGATAGTACAATTTAGTTTTTGTATTTATAATGGATAACAACAGTTTTATGTATTTTTAATATGTGAAAATTGTTCCCCATATACACCTTCAATTGTTTTCTCTTCCTAAATTCCGTCCTCTCACATTTAAATACCTCTAGATCATCTTTTCATTCATGTTTAAACCATTCAAGTATATATGTAAGCCCTGGAGTTTCCATAGACACCTACTGCCTTTTTCCTTTTCTCAACCAATTCTTATTCTTTGCCATTTGACTTCTAAAAAATCCATGCTCTTTATTAACTTTAATTTTCCTTTTTTGTGAGATCTGCCATTTTACTGCCATGACAAAATGATTCTAACTTCAAAAGTGTCTTACTTAAAAAGGATATGGGGCCGGCCCCATGGCTTAGCGGTTAAGTGCGCGCACTCCGCTACTGGCGGCCCGGGTTCGGATCCCGGGCGTGCACCGACGCACTGCTTCTCCGGCCGGCCATGCTGAGGCCGCATCCCACATACAGCAACTAGAAGGATGTGCAACTATGACATACAACTATCTACTGGGGCTTTGGGGGGGGGGGAGGATTGGCAATAGATGTTAGCTCAGAGCCGGTCTTCCTCAGCAAAAAGAGGAGGATTAGCACTGATGTTAGCTCAGGGCTGATCTTCCTCACAAAAAAAAAAAAAAGGATATGAATTCTTCTTTCTGCTAATTTGTTTTCTAGCATTTTTGAAAGTTATGTCATAACAGATTATGCCTTTTAGTATAACACTTGGAAGGTGCTAATAAAATAAAAATGTAGTATATTAGGTGACAATTTTAAGTTTTTAATAAAATGTAAAAAGCACTATTATAAATATTTGATTCCTTAAGTCTGTGGATAAATTCACAGGCTTGCTTTTTTTTGTCATGCTTTGCTTCTAATGCCTCTCTAGCTTCTGCTTACTAGTAAATACTGATGAAAAATTTTAAAAACTGGTAAAGTTAAAAATAATTAAAATGCTTGACAATATTTTATTAAAATTAAACAATAAATATTAAAAATATTTTTGGCAATGAGTATCAAAAATAATAAAATAGTAACTATATATATATTGGTAGTAGTCTCTCAGAGTCTTGTATGCCTACAGAATTTTTATCAGCTTTTTCAAATCCTGCCAACAATCATAGTTCTCTGAATTAGATTTATCTGATGCATGTTTACATTAGAACATGTTATCTTCCAGATTTTGTCTTTCATTGAGTGATGTAAGGTCACACTTTAGTAGTAGCATATGCTCAAATAAAAGGCAAAGTTTTCCTCAAAATCACCTCTCAAAACAAAAATGTTGCTTTAAAAGTCCTACTGAGCCTGTCATATTAAAAGATACTCTCTCGGGACCTTATTTTGAATAATGAAGTACTATTTCAGAAGATATTAGGATCTCAGATCTCAATGAATAATAGTTTTGGATGCAGATTAAAGGATACCTGACAGAATTGATTAAAACAAAAGGAGGAGGCAAAGGAATTTCAAACACATTTATTCATTGATCTGGGGGGGTTTCACCCTACATTTGCAAATGTTGGATATCCTTAAGGATAAACAAACCTTAAGAAGGCAGTACAGCAGAAGTGCTTACTGAGTGAAGTTAAACACCTGTAGGATGAATGAAAACCAAAAACACCTTTCCTAATGCCAGACAAATGGGATTTTAGCTTAAGATAAAAATATTCAATAATAGCATTATACACAGTTCTTAAATAACATAACATACATTTCACCTTCATAAAAATTAAGATGAAATGCTCTAGAAACTATTTTATCAAAAGTGGCTCTGGTATATCCATGCAAAGACTTGTACACGCTTGTTTGCAGCAACATTATTCATAATAGCCAAAAAGTGGGAACAACCCAAATGTCCGTCTACTGATGAATTGATAAACACAATATGGTGTAGTAGTCCCTCATCTGCGGGGGATACGTTCCAAGACCCCCAGTGGATGCCTGAAACTAGATAGTACCGGACCCTATATATACTATGTTTTTTCCTATATATACATACCTATGATAAAGTTTAATGTATAAATTAGGCACAGTAAGAGATTAACAACTGTAATAATAAAATCAAACAATTACGACAATATACTATAATAAAAGTTACCGTAGATCTTAGCAACCTCAGCATAGGATTTTTTTCTTTCCTTATAAAGTCAAGAACTTTCATCTTTTCACTTAAAGGAAGCACTTTATGGCTTCTCTTTGGCATATCCAAATTGCCAGCATCACTGCTCCTATGCTTTGGGGCCATTATTAAGTAAAATAAGGATTACTTGAACACAAGCATGGTGATCCCGAGACCAACTCAGTAACTCACGGGTGGGTAGTATATACAGCGTGGATAGGCTGACAAAGGAATGACTGACATCCTGGGTGGGACAGCATGAGATTTCATCAGGCTGGTCAGAATGGCATGTGATTTAAAACTTATAAATTGTTTATTTCTGGAATTTTTCATTTTATACTTTCAGACCATAGTTGACCTCGGGTAACTGAAACCGAGGATAAGGGGGGACTACTGTATGCCCATATAATGGAATATTATACAGCAGTAAAATGGAATAAGCTACTGATAGATGCTGTGTTATGCTAAGTGAAAAATGTAATGCCAAGTGAAAGAAGCCAGATACAGAAAACCCTATATCATATGATCCTATTTAAATGAAATAGCCAGAAAAAGCAAAGCCTTCTTGGGGAGGGGGTACCAGGGATCTTTTGGAGTTGATGGAAATGTTCTAAAATTGCATTGTGATGATAGCTGGACAACTGTAGATTTACTTAAACATGCTGAATTATACACTTAAAACAGCTGAATTTTATGACAAATGTATTCCTTAGTAAAGCTGTTTTTAAAAAGGAACTCTAGGGGCCGGCCCCATGGCTTAGTGGTTAAGTGCGCGCTCTCTGCTACTGGCGGCCTGGGTTCGGATCCCGGGCGTGCACCGATGCACCACTTCTCCGGGCATGCTGAGGCTGCATCCCACGTACAGCAAGTAGAAGGATGTGCAACTATGACATACAACTATCTACTGGGGCTTTGGGGAAAAAAAAGGAGGAGGATTGGCAATAGATGTTACCTCAGAGCCAGTCTTCCTCAGCAAAAAGAGGAGGATTAGCATGGATGTTAGCTCAGGGCTGATCTTCCTCACAAAAAAATAAATAAATAAAAAATAAATAAAAAGGAACTCTAGTAGTACCAGAGACATTGATGTCAAAGATATGAAGAGTTTGAATAATATTGTTTTAGGAAAAGTGAAAATGAAAAAAAGCAATATTTCTAGTTAATATATTTTTAGATAATATGATTTTAAATGTGTGAATTAAAATTTAATAAATATTAGAAATAGACATTTTATTATTTTATCTATGTTGAAAAGTTTATATATTCAGAATTACAGGTGAGTTTTAAAGAGAACCATTTTATTTTGAGTAGTATAAACAAAACTTCATTTATAACATAATAAACATACCTTCCATCAATTTCACACTCCAAAGAATAAAACCTCGCACATAATTAGAATTTACATTTTGCCTTAAATATTCCATAATCCATCTGTGTCAACTTTGGAATTTTAATCTTGCCTAATACTATGAAATAGGATAAACCTTGATCAGTGGCCAAATCTGAAAGACAAGAAGACACTATTGTCATCTAAACAGTTCTATTAGGATATTAACTTTTAAAAAAATAACTGTATACTAACTCTTAAATAAATCATATTTCTATCTTTAAGTGCCAGCTATCTAATGGTGCTAAAGATAATTGCAATTGTGTATTTTAACTCAAATATAATTTTTTTAATGAAACCATGTTTAAAGATTTATATTTTTCCAAAGTCTTTGGATTACAATTTAATAATCTAGGTTTATATTTTTTTTTAGGACCCAGGAAAAAAAAGAAAAGAAATCTCAATGACCCCAACCTATTTGTATCTGCTGAAGAGGTAGGACTAATGTACAACTTTAAGAAATTAGCTATTCTACATTGTTTTAAGCTTTCTAATAACGTTATCCTTTTTTTTAAGTTTGGCCACCTATTGGATGAAAATATGGGATCCAAGTTTGATAACATTGGCATGAATGCCATGGCTAACAAAGATAATGCAAGTAAGTAACTTGAATTTTTTATTGAGGTTTTAAAATAGCCTTAACTTAGAACTTCTGAAGATATAAATATTTTTGGAGGACCTTTTTACAGTAAGAATGGATAAAATGGTTCCTTACAACCTGGAAGGAGTGACTTTTTCATCTCTCTGTCTAGGGAGCATCTAGGATTAAAAACTATTTAGACTATAGCAAAAACGACTACAGCCTACAAAAGTTACTTTGGTTTTTTTAGGGAGGCAGGCTGTTTTTATATAGTATGAGTTTGCTAAGTAACTTTGTTAAGTGCTTTATAGACCTTTTCATTGTTTCTTATATTGATAGTTACTGGCTACTGTTCTTTCACCAGTAAAATGTCAAGGGAAATAAAATCTTTAGAGCATTTGTTCCTTTCCTGTCCTAGTCTTTTATTTGTAAAACAGTAATCTTTGATAATAAATATAGAGGGAAAGCAACACACAGGCAAGGGATTTGCATTGTGGATGGGAAATGACTGTAGGCTGTGGCGGACCAGGAGTTCCCATTACTCAGTAGATGTTCTCTGGGGCCATGAAGAGTCTATAATGTGGTGTGCTCATCTTTCTTCTCCCCACCCTCAAAGGTCTCAAACAGCTCAGATGGGAGGCTGAACGAGATGACTGGCTACACAACAGAGATGTGAGAAGTATCATCAGGAAAAAGAAAAATTTCAAAAAGAAGAGGCCAAAAACCACTCAGAAAACTAAAAAGCAAAGAAAATGAGTGTTTTCTAAATAAATTGTAAATTAAAATTCAACTTACTGCTAATTTTTGCTGTTCATCCATTTTTCTTGATCTTGCTCTCTGATTCCGTACATTCCAGACTGTTCAATGGATTTGTAATAAACTATAAATAAAAATAGCTGTCATTTATAAAATCGTGTAAAAGTGTTAAACTACATTGAGAAAAATCAAACTTTTTTTCCTTATTTCTACAGAGAAAAATTAAAAAGCTGATAATAGGATACGCATTTCATGTACAAGCTCTAGCATCTCTACTTATCATTGTAATGAGTACTATTTATTAAGCATTACTTGATACCAGATACTGTACTGAGTGATTAACATAATGTCATCTTGTTCAACCCTTATAACAGTTCATGAGGTGGGTCTTATTATCTCTGCTTGACAAAGAACAGTTCCAAGAAGTTAGCAAACCAGAGATGGTTTTAAGGTTTGACTCCATCACCGTCTCAGATCCATCTCATTCCACAGTCTACGTTCTTAACCACTGAAAGGATTACAAATCAGCCCATTAGCTAACTGCACTCATCTCTAGAGGAGAATTTTCTCCCTTTCTGTATTCTCAGAAAGAGCTAAAATAGGGATGAATAGTATTTTTGGAAATTGACATCACAGAATAAAAAGTCATGTAGCCCTTAATTGGTCATAAAGAAATTACTTAATTTATAGGTTACCTGAAAAAGTTGTTTTGTACTCTTACTTTTACTTAGGGAAAAACATACCTTCCAAGATGAAGGGATATTTCTTGCTCATTGTTTGCCTGAAATCTGATGAAAAAAGAAGTCTTAAAATTAGACATGATTAGAAATTAATTGTATTAACACATGGGCCATAATTTAGTGCTAACTTTAGGGTCTATAAGATAGGAATCCTATAGATTAGAAATTTGTGTTAAAGTGAAATTTATTCCTTTTGGATAGGGTCTAAGTTGCTCTTGTGTTACATGGTAGCCTTCTATAGTTACTTTGGAGTTTTTAAAATTTGGCCTGTATATATGATATAATTTATTTAGAAATGGTATTTAAAAGCAAATTTTCAGTGTTAATGTGTAATTCCCTTTTGTAACTTTATGAATTTTTTTTTTTTTTAAAGATTTTATTTATTTTATTTTTTCCCCCCAAAGCCCCAGTGGATAGTTGTATGTCGTAGCTGCACATCCTTCTAGTTGCTGTATGCGGGACTCGGCCTCAGGATGAACGGAGAAGTGGTGCCTCGATGCGCACCCGGGATCCGAACCCGGGCCACCAGCATCACAGCGCGCGCACTTAACCACCAAGCCACAGGGCCGGCCCTATGAATTGTTTTTATGGATGCCATTTTACCTTGTTATGGAATTAGAAACGACTGTTGTACCCAGTGTTTGAAGCTGATCCTAAACTTTAATTGCTTTTAAATACTGTTGGATGTTTTCTTTTATACCCTTACAGTTTAAAAGTATAGCGATTTTGTGACTATCCAATAGAATCCTGGAACAGTGTTTGTTCTAGTGAAGTACTTTAAAAGACAAATGACAAGTTTCAAAGATGGCCACCACCCCAGGACTACTATTCCTTGCTTTAGGGAAAGAGAAAGCACTTCCTAATTCTAAAAGTTGAGGGCTCTAATATAAAATTTCCCCCAAAAAATGTCAGAGCACTTTCAGTGACAGCCAGTGGCATGGGAAAGGTTTTTAGCTGCCAGTGCTGATGCAGAGGAAGAACTCTGCTAGCCTGGGACACTGGTTACTTGACAGTTCAGCTATGCTACCTCTTGCTTTCTCAGTCTACCAAACAAGGAGGTATAACGGGCAGGGTGAATTTCTTCCGTCTCTGCTCCCAAACTAAACCAGACCAAGGACACTTGCTGTATGCCCCCCACTAGTAAAATCCATGGAAGTGTGAAACACTTTCCCTGGTCTACAAACATTTTTTTAGGGAGAAGTGTCAGTCTACAATAATTAACACCTAGTTTCCCCTTGCACCCATAAAAATGCCTAATACATTAAATCTGAAGAAGCAATTTATCTTAAAATGCCATTTAGCACCTAAAATGCATTAGGAACCTGCACACCCCTCTAAAAAACGTTAACTTATGAATTATGATTACCTTGGCTTGTGTTCATCTTATTAAACAAAAAATATGCTCCAAAAACGCCCACAAGTTCAGCTACTAAAACTCCTTTAAAGATCTTCTTTGCCAGTGGTTCCATAGTGCGGGCCATCCTAAGTTCAACAAGAGCAATTACATGTAAACCTGAATGAGCATATTCAAACTTCATACCACTTCTATAAAAATAACTCCAATTCATTCCCACAGTTTGATTTATTATCTATATAGGAATAAAACTCCAAAGTTACTGTATACTTGTTTGTATTAGACATGGCCCACGTTCCTAGTTTTCAATCTCCGTGCCTATGGGGCACAATGAACCAAAAACATGATTGGATAAAGCACAGAAAGGAGAAAAAATTGAAGGCATGTAAAAAGAACTAACAGTTTACGGAACTAAGATTTTCAAGGTTTCTAAGAATACAGAATGGTGGGAAATAGGGTAAGTTATTTTTTTACCTGGACTAGGAATAAAGATATAATCTAAGGGACACAATATGTGAAAGCTCTTTGTAAAGTACCCCACAAAAGTAAAGTTATAGTGGTTGTACATGTTTTATAGCTGGAGGTTTTCATTTATTTATACAACATATATTGAACTATGTGCTGTAGTCCAGGCATTTTATACAAAGTTGAGCAATAAACTAACTGGTTCTTGTTCCTGAGGAGCTGCTATTCTAACGGTATTTTCAAACTAATTGCATCACCCAAAAGGCTTGTTAAAAATGCACATTCCTGGGCCTCGGCCTGCAATTCCCCTATCCCCAGATTCTGATTCAGCAAGTCTAGGGTTGGCGCCCAGTAATCTGCCCTTTAGCAAATGACTAGTACACATGAGGCCCCTGGACCACAGGAGGAAGAAGACTGACCACCATCACCCAGTAAGTGGCAAAACTAGACTTTAGCTCTTGATTCTCTTCCTGTAATTAAAATAAAAGCTAATCAAGAGAAAGCTTTGAGTCTTTAATCTTTTTCTTTTTTTGTGTGAGGAAGACTGGCTCTGAACTAACATCCATTGCCAATCCTCCTCTTTTTCCTGAGGAAGATTAGCCCTGAGCTAACATCTGTGCCCCATCTTCCTCTATTATGTATGTGGGATGCTGCCACAGCATGGCTTGATGAGCAGTGTGGAGGTCCGCCCCTGGGATGCGAACCTGCGAACCCCAGGCCGCCGAAGCAGAGCGTGCGAACTTAACCACTATGCCACTGGGCCGGCCCCGATTTATTCTTTTTCTAAAGTAAAAGCTAAACAAGTAAAAGGGCTATATATCAAGAAAATAGCATATATGACTCTTACTGAATATATGAAACATAAACCCAAGTTTTCACTCCGCCTCCCTATAACCCCAAAGTCAAGAACAAGAGGAGAACCGGTAGTTTCTAATCTCCGGATTTTGATAGTGTCCTGTGTATGCTCTTTGTCACACTGTTCTCTGTCCTCTGGGCAGAAATGACATGTTCTCTAATACTCCACAGTCCCAGCTCTCTGCTCACTGTCATGCATTTACTCCATTCGCTTTTGACTCCTCTTCACAATGCCTGAGGTTGGGAATGATTAATACCCTACTTTTGTAGGATTATCCTGCTAATATCGTCACCAGATATCCCTTCCTCACAAAATTGCCTTCCCTCATTTTGATAATGTGATCACCCTGGGGACGAAAAGATTAAAACTTTATTATTCTTACCTAAAAGAAATGAAGCAGAGGAAGTTTAAAAAGAACTTACAAATAAATTCAAGAGGCAGCTGCACGGGTGAGAAGGGAGAATTGTTTTGCTCTGTTTACTACAATGCTGTACACTACGGACAGGAAATAAGTCAAGATCAGTACAGGGAGCTCTCGGGGTTTTTTTGCTTTTTTTATTACATAAGTTTCAGGTGTACAGCATTAAAATTCGACATCTGTATACACTACAAAATGATCACCACCGCCAGTCTAGTTACTATCCATGACCATACAGTTGACCCCCTTCACTCATTTTGACCACCTCCCCTTCACCCTGGTAACCACTAATCTGTTCTCTGCATCTATGAGTTTTTTATTTTGTTTGTTGGTTTATTTTGCTTTGTTTTTTATCTTCCACATATGTGTGAAATCATACGATATTTGTCCTTCTCCATCTGGCTTATTTCACTTAGCATAATACCCTCAAGGTCCATCCACGTTGTCACAAATGGCAAGATTTCATTCTTTTTTATGGCTGAGTAATAGTCCGTTGTACATACATCACATCTTCTTTATCCACTCATCTATCATTGGACACTTAGGCTGTTTCCATATCTTGGCTATTATTGCTAAATAATGCTGCAATGAACATAGGGGTACATGTGTCTTTCTGAATTAATTTATCCACTTTGGATAAATATCCAGAAGTGGAATAGCTGGGTTATATGGTAGTTCTATTCTTAATTTTTGAGGAATATCCATACCGTTTTCCATAGTGGTTGCACCCATTTATATTCTACCAACAGTGTACGAAAAGGTTCCCTTTTCTCCACATCCTCTCCAACACAACTTGTCTTTTTTATAACAGCCATTCTATCAGGTGTGAGGTGATATCTCATTGTGGTTTTGATTTGCATTTCCCTAATAATCAGTGATACTGAATATCTTTTCATGTGCCTGTTGGCCATCTGTATGTCTTCTTTGGAAAAATGTTTATGCAGATCCTCTGCCCATTTTTTAATCAGGCTGTTTGTCTTTTTGTTGTCCAGTTGTATGAGTTCTTTATAGAGTCTGGATATTAACCCTTTACCTCCTGGGGTTATTTTTAATATTCAAGGGGTGAAAACAACAAAACAAATAAGGCCCGCCTGCAGCCAGACCCACAGTGCAGGGAATCCAGGCAAAATTTTGTTTTGTTTTGTTGGGAGAGGGTGAGGCTAAGAGTTCAAAGTATAAAGTCTAAATAACACTGCATAATAAAACATTTACCTTTCTTAAAATATATATATACATTCCACATTCCAAGTCCCTCAGCTCAGGAGAGGTGTACAATTATAACGACTGACAAAGCCCATTTGATCAAGACCACCAAAGGCATACCAGCCCACGACAAAGTTGGGTTACTAACCGGCAAACGAGGAACAAGATAAGACAAGATTTTGGAGAAGGATGGAACTTAGGTGAAGTTTAAAATAAAGCAGTCCTCTGACGGGCTCAAAGAAAAGGAGCGCTGTGTGTCATGGGGTTAACATCACACTGGACTGAGCAGCCCCCTGGGAGTGCACAAGCTTAAGACAAATGTGCAATGTTGGGTCCGAAAACCCCTCATCTGTGCACAAAAGCTGGAAATCGACACAGCTCAGCATCTCCAGCCAACATGATTTCAAACAGCAAGGTCTCTCACACTCTAGATGTCGGAGAACAAGGCTTCTCAGCTACGTCCCTGGGTGTGATTAGCAAAAGCAGTCTTTCCAGTTTTCTTCCCACGGGCAAGAGCCAAGCAAGCAGCGAGGCCTCCGAGAGCTGCCTCAGGCTGGCTACCCACGGTCCTCAGCCCCTCGTGGCCGCCCGCATCCCCGGGCACCCCGCTCCCACCGATCTCCCTCGGTCCTCCGGCGCTTCCCCGCCCGCCCGGTTCCCACCACGCTGCAGCCGGGCCAGCAGCCCACAGTCGCGGGCAGCGCAGGCAGCACCGTCCCGCCGCCGGCCCAAGGTCGCCGAGCAACCCGGAAACACTCCGGCCTGTCCCGCGCTCCTCGGGTGGAACAGCTATAGTGACACCCGAGTGACCCCCGTTTGACCCCAGAGCTCTGGGGTGGCCCCCAAAACACCTGCCGCACTCCGCGCTTTGGGGAGCCCAAGTCAGGCCGCCGAGCTAGAGCCACGCGCCCGGGTCCTACCTGAGGTGCCTACATGCGGGGCTGCGCAAGCGCAAGGGTTAGCAGAGCCCCGCCCCTGCCGACATTGGCCCCGCCCCCAGACCGTAATTACCATTTATTGCGCTCTTACTAAGAGTCGATCCTGACTGCGTGGTGCTACATAGATTATTTTATTTAATCCTCACGACAACCCTATGTCATAATAGGTGCTATGAGTATCTCATTTTATAGAGAAGGCAAGAGGTTTACCCTGTCCATAATCACACAGCTAATTAGAGACAAAACTTGGATTTGAACCCAGGACACTGACGGGAAGGCCTGTGCTCAATCGTTTTTCTACACCCTGCGACCCGAAATGTGACAGTCTGCTAGAATCAGCAATATCGGCATCAAAAGGGAGCTGGTTAGAAATGCAGACCTACCGAATCAGAATCTGCGTTTTAGTCAGATCCCTAGACAATTCTTTTGCAAATTAAAATTTGAGAAGCACTGCATGTACTGCCTTCTAGGTAGGAGAAGGAAGAGGAGGAGAACTGGAAGGGGAAGGGGAGGAAGGGGAATGGGAAAAGAAACGGCTACTAAGGTACCATGTGCAAGACAAAGCCTGAAATACACAAAATAGTTAAGACACAGATCTACCTTCACAGAGGTTATAGTCTAGTGGGGGGTAAAATATAACCACAAATAACTAATTAAAAGTACACAATGAATGGGGCCTTGCTTCTGATCTGAGGGATCCATGAAGTTTTTAGAGAAGAGGTGCTAGTCAGCTGTCAGTCAATGTCAGGTAGAGGAAGTGCCTCCGAGGGGGTCTCTGAGACTGCCCCAATTTTCCTATCCGATCCCCGCAGTCTGGCCCACATGGTTCATTTGCACGACTAAACTATCATAAATCACAAGAAATGTGGATGTGTAAACTATGTTCATTTAAAACATGTCATTATTAGTCAAGATCACTCAGGTCTACACAGATCCGGAGCTCCAAATGATCTCTTTCACTGCACTACATCAATGTTACTGGTATCCCCAACGTTTGGGCTTTGTACAGTCTCTTGATCTCTTCTACCTGCTCTATAGAAATTGCCTCTGGCTTGAACCTCCTTTCTATTAATATAATGTAACTGATGCTCTCCCAAGCTTTTCTCATAAGATCTCTTTTTGTACTATGTTGTTTTTTATTTTGTCTGTTATTGTCTTTGCTGTCATAACCTATTTTTCTCAAAACTTTTTAGAACTCTAGCCCCGGGCATCACCTACTTTGTCGAGGTTCCCCTTTCCCCTCCACCC